CAAAGATTGGGTTACCGTTTCCATAGTGACGACTTTATGTGGTTTAGCTATTCTGGGAATTTAACCAAAGCCCAGCAGCAGGAGAGAATCATCAGCAAAAAACCCTGTAACATAGGGCAACTGCCAACAAGTCATTGAGGGGAAAATGGTTTTATTTTCTCTCCTTTCTCCAGAAAAAAAATATCTTCACTTGGAACTGTTTGAAGAAATACAGCATTGTGTTGGACACTTGATATGTCTTTGTTCTTAAATGAGAAGCGCAGTTGAAATGCAGCCAGGCTCTGTGGGCCATGCATTCCCAGAATGGCATTTAGACATGGGCAAGGGTGGTGTACTGCTTCCCAGGACTCTCGAGTGATTGGTTCTGAAGGGAAATTCTCAATCTGCAGGGTTATCTCCTGGGAAAGTATGCAATTGACATTTCATTCTCAATTCTACTTTTGTTCTGGAATTGTCATTCTTGGCAGTGTTTCCCATAATTTGTTATGGTCCACAGAGTCCACTGTCTTTCTATTATCAATAAAACACAGGTAAGCATCTTACTGCTATTCTTTCATTGCAGCCAAGATCCAACTAAGAGCAGCAATGATATTCTTTATTTCACATCTTCTTTAGAACTCAGCTTAAATATCTGGCAGTTCCCTGTCAATCTACCACTGCAATCATTTTTTAATGATTTTCAGCAACATTTTATTGACAAGAAAATATTGAGTAATGTAAAATCAGGAAAGATGTGTGTCAGGTTTTTGTATCCTTTTACCATATTAATTCAATGGGCATGCTGAGCAAATAATCCGAGACGATGGAGTATATGAAGAAGAATAAACATAGCATCAGGGTTAGAGGAAGAATATTAAATATACCATAGACAACCAGAAGAATGAACAAATCCGTCTTGGAGGAAACATAACCAGAATATTCCTTAGAAGAGAGGATAGCAGGACGTTGTCTCATGTACTATGCTATCAGGAGAGACAAGTTCCTAGAGGACTTGGACATCATTCTTGGTAAAGTAGAGGGTCAGTGAAAAAGAACATGACCCTCAACAATATGCGTTGACAGTGGCTGCAACAATTGACTCACAAATAGCAACAATTGTGAGGATGACACAGGACTGGGCAGTGTTCCAAGACAGGTTTGTTCATTCTTCTGGAAATTCACGGTATAGTCAATATTCTTTATCAACACCCTAATTCAAAGGCATCAATTCCTTATTCATTGTCCAGCTTTTATATGAATATGGAGGAATTGAAATTACCAGGGTTTGAATCAGGCATACCTTACCCTCTAAATGTTATCTTTGTTTTTTTAAGACTTTAAAGTGATCTTTCGAAATAGATTTGCCCAATGCAATACGTCATCTGACTTCTTGACTGCTGCTTCCAAGAGCATTGATTTTGGATCTAAGTAAACTGAAATCCTGGACCACTTCAATGTTTTCCCCATTTATCATAATGTTGCTTATGGGTCCAGTTGTGAGGATTTTTGTTTTCCTTATGGTGAGGTGTAATCCATACTGAAGCATGCAGTCCTTGATCTTCATCACCATGTACTTCAAGCCTACTTCCCTTTCAGAAAGTTCAGTTGTATGAGACGCAGTGTGACTCACACAGACATGAGAGGAAGCAGAAGGTGAAGATGGATGTATCTCAAGTCCCGAAACTCCGAGCATCGTTAGTACTACTAGAAGCTGAAGGACACACGAAGGCCCTTTCTCTAAAGCAGTGCCCTGAATTCATACCTCTAGCCTCAGGAACTCTGAGGAAACAAATTTTTGGTTTTTAAAATCACTTATTTCCAGTGTTTGTACTACAGTAGCTTAGATAAGTAGGCAAACATACAATTCATCCACTAATTACAAAAAATATATACCCTATCTCTAGATGTGCTTGTTCTCAGAAAGCATAGGCTGCACGTCACCCTCATGCATTCCTATTTGCTTTCCTATCTGGTTCTTCTCCAAGAGTTCTCTCTGCATGGCTGGAACCATCTGTACACCACACTCATGGTCCCTTCAGAAGTCTGGTGAGTCCAGGCTCACAGAGAAAGGCCCAGATAGAAGTGAGGAGGAACACTTTACTTTCCATGGCTAAGGGTCCAAATATCGGCACACTTATTGTCATTGGGAATGTGTATTTTCTTTAAGGAGAAAAGAGGGAGGCCCTGAATGACATAGATTGACACCGTGGCTATAACAATGGGGTCAAGCATAGCTACAGTTGTGAGGCTAGGACTGGACCAGTCAGAGATACAGAAGGTTGCTAGGAGTTGGAATCAACTTGACAGCATTTAACAGCAACAATGTTATATTTTTGAAACCATGTTGATTCTAAGGGGTGTGTGTGTTTGTGTGTGTGTGTGATCCTAGGGTGTGTGTGTGTGTGTGTGATCCTAGGGTGTGTGTGTGTGTGTGTGTGTGTGTGTGTGTGTTGTGTAACTTTCTTAGTTCTACTTATTGCCTAACGATTAACTTAAGACTTTTGTTTTTAAGCAGAAAAAGAAAAGTTATGGCACTTTTATTGCATATTTCTTCGTTCCCACCAGTTCTGAATCTGGAAGGATCCTTTAAGTTATCAAATTTGAAGTAATCCAGTTCAAGCAACTAAAATTCCTATCACAGTATACCCTCATAGGAACTAAGATTGTGATCAACACGCTGACAGTATGCAATGCAATGATGGTCTCAGAATGGGTAAGCAATTTCACAGACAAGAATGCGTTTTCTTCTAAAGAGCTCATTCTATTTTGAATGGCTCTTGACATTAGCGAAGATTTTCTTTTGTTGAGCTTAAATCAACTTCCTTTTTACTTGTACTTGGTCTCAAGTTGAGACTTTCAAGGGGATACAAATAAAGTCCAACACACTCCCCCATGACAGCAACTCATTATTGTGAGTTTGAGTCTACCTGTCTCCAGTCCTCACATCCCCAATCTTCACTCCACATCTTCCTCAATGAAATTTTCATTCACATGTCTACCTCACCTGTTCACTTCTAGAAACAGGTTAGTTTGTATTTTTTCTGATATAATATATTAGAAAAATATGTATTCGTTGTATTTTTTCTAACATAAAATAAATAGTTGGTCTAAACGGGGAGTCCCAAATGAAAATCCACCAGAGGCCAAGCAGGTCATTGAAATGTATAAAGCATTTACAGGTAACTGTGGGGGACCTGGAGACTAAATTAACAGCCTGAGCACTTAAATGGAAGTTGGACACACACACACACACACACACACACACACACACACACACACAGAGTTGGGCCCACATTGTGATTCTTGGCCAGAATCATTGTAATCCAAATATTAAGTCAATAGGGTAAATCTACTGCTTTTGAGTCAATTCCAGATCATAATGTGACCCTAGAGGACAGAGGAGAACTATATTTTTCTGAGTCTATAAATCTTACAAAGGCAGACTGTCTCATCTTTCTCCAGTAGAGCAGTTGGGGGTTTCAAAACACCGAGTTTTTTATTAGCAGTCCAACACTTCCTGGTGTGGCGCTGTGGGTTAATGTGCCAGACTGCAAAGCCATTTGAACTGCAAGGTTGGAGATTCAAGCTCACCAGCAGCTCCTTGGAAACCCTATAAAGGGTCACTATGGGTCAGAATTGACTCAACGGCACTTAACAACAGCAACAACAGTCCAACACTTCACCCACTGTACCATCAAGTTTCCAAATTCATAGCACAGACTTCCATGTGGAGACTTATGGAAACATTCCCTGGTTAGGCTAGAGGAGAGGGGAGAACAGTCATGTGTTACATCAGGAAACCCTGTCTAGGTGTCATGGGAATTTAGCAAGACTACTTTCTCTTTATACTGTTGTTAGGTGGCTTCAATATTGGCATCATGCCACAGAGTAAGCACTGCCCCATAGACATAAAAGTGGTCGCCTAGGCTCCCTAGGCTGTTACCTTTATGGGAGCAGATCACCACACCTTCTTCTACAGAGTCACTGGGCGGGTTCGAACACCATCCTTTTGGTTAGCAGCCAAGCATTTAAACATTATACCATCAGGGCTCCATTCGCTCCATAAAACCACAGGGATAAAAAGACTAAACTCACAATTCTCTCATTGCCCAGTACCTTATATCAAGTAAAAGTGTCCTGCACCAGAAAGAATAAGGCAAAGGATATCAGAAATCATAATTCATCAGTGCTAGTCCTAAATCAAAGATAAGGACCAGTCATTACACAGTATTAAGAAAACCCCCACCACTAATGTTTTTTAACTCTTTTCTTTGCTCAGACCTGAACGCTTTTTGAAAGAAGGAGTGATGTTCTCCTTTGTGTTTAAAAGTCCCATTCACTGCTTGCAAAGTTGTCCATCTCCCAGTAACCACACAGCACATGCAGGAAGGAGCTGACTGACAGGAAACAGACATTGTCTGTGGTCACAGCCTAGGGAAGGTGGCTGCTCAAAGTTGGTTTGGAACCGTCGAGGTGAGTTTCCAAACATAAATATCTGACTTCAAACCCTGATTAAATCGCCATGTATAGGCCGCAAGTCCAAAATTAGAATCAAGTTTCTTCTCAGAAATTTGGTGGAAATGTTATCATTGTTTTATGATCACACATCTTATAGATCTAAAGCATTTGGTAAGCAACATTTGTAGCCTGTCATGAATTACATGCAGATCCCTTGGTAGTACAAATGGTTAATGTGCTCAGCTATTAACAAAAAGGCTGGAGACACCGCATGACAATCTAGTGCTGGAAACTCAAACATTGAAAGCCCTGTGGAATACAATTCTACCAGGACACATGTGGGTCACCATGAATCCGAATTGACTCAACGGCAACCAATCGGTTGGTTACTTTGAACTAATTTCCTAGAAGTTGGAGTTTCCCACATACAAACTCAACAAAAGCAACCCCTGACCTCAGCTTCACTTGACTTTCACATACTGTTATTACAAGTTCATATTAGAGTTCCACTAGACAAATATTCATTTCCCAATCTAGATTAAACAGTCTCTTGGCTTGCTTACCTCTGTTCATTGTCTTGGATCCAGTAGACTTGTCTGGGACAGTCAGGTGGTCTAGGTTGCTACTCAATGAAGAAGTATCATCACTAGATAAAGAGTTCAAAAATCCACTTTCTGATGCGTCATCATCCTGGGCCTTATAACTATTTGCCTCTGAAGGGAGAGGCAAATGAACCTGCACTGCAAATGTTATAGACTGCCCTGTGTCTTCAGCAGCAGAGGAACTGTTAGCAGTGTCGAGCCCAGACTGTCTTTCTTTAGATGAGGAGGATGACACACTGCTGGACGTCTTCTTTGCATTTTCCAGGGTAGAGAAAGAACACGATGCTCCACTCAGCTTGGGTGAGGATGAGGATGCCTGCTGTGCAGCCTGTTTTTCACAAATAAAACCAAAGAAGACTAAAATAAATCGTGATTGAACCAGCATTCTCTACTTTTATTTGCAGTGACAAAAGCGTCCACAGACAAATGCCCGATTTCTCTATCTGTATGACAGGCATCGTGATGTCATTTTCTAAAACAGATTTGTTGACCTTTGAATTCAATGTTCTAGGACCTGAAAACTCTCCAAACTGCAATATTCCCCACTCACCAGTATTCTGAAGAACCTACAAAGCCCCCTTGGGAAATTATGTAGAATACTAAAAGATATCTTGAGCAAAAAACAAATTGCCATCTATCAATGCACTCACTGTAATAAAGAGAAAACTCTTGAGAAAGGAGATTAAGAGAAGAATGCCATAGCTGGAGCCAGATATGAAGTAAAAGATTGTTAAGTGAGTGGAGGTCAGTGATGTAGGCAAAGGACATATATCGAAACTCTTGAGTATTTTTCTCATATTCCTTAACATATGTCCAATATCAGCTCATAACTCCATAGTTGTTGTTGTTGTTGTTAAGTGCTGTCGAGTCGGTTCCGACCCATAGCGACCCTGTACAGGGTTTCCGAGGGTGTAAATCCTTACGGGAGTAGAAAGCCTCATCTTTCTCCCGCGGAGCGGCTGGTAGTTTCGAACTGCTGACTTTCAGGTTCGCAGCCCGATTCATAACCACTACGCTACCAGAGCTCCTTTTTTAAGATAAAATAATATTAATTCATTCCCTCTTTAGTAATTTTATCATTTTAATCAAGTTTCACCCAAGAAGGCAAGAGGGCATTTGCAGTCTTCTAACTCATTAAGAGGTAGCTAAGTGGCGCAGCACAAGTGTGCTGGGCCCATAACCCAGAGGTCGATGGATGAAGGAAACCATTCTCGGTTGTCTGGGTGTTTTGTTGTGTTTCCTTTGTTTTTTGAGTCCTGGTGTGGCAATGTAGGATAAGCACTGAACTGCTAACCACAGGTTAGCAGTTCAAACCTCCGGCTGCTCCTCAGAAACTGTACCGGGAGTTGCTTTGAGGCAATCAACTGAACATCACTTAACTCATTAAAGAAAACCTAAAAGTGGCCCCAGAGACTATGAGAAGTGGAATGATAACTAGGAATCTTCTGACAGTAGTTCCTAATATAGGATCCAAGGAAGATTGATGCTCCATGACAAGTATTCATTAGTCCATAGAGAAAACATCCATGCATCATCAGCAATTGTCCTCTCTTGGGAAGGACTTCACACCTAGTAGGAGTTCTGTGGACTGAGAACCAACAAGAACAGGCAATAACCAGACACTGACGTACATGGCAGCACCTCCCAGAACTCTATCAACAAATGGAAGAACCTAGAAGAGAACAAAACTATAAGAACAAATTCAGAGGATCTGGGAGGTCAGTCTATGATCAAAACAATTACAATGTGAAAGAAGGTAAACACATAGGAACAGAGATCCAGGTGGTGAGAAGGTCAGGGAGATTACAGGATAAGATAGACTGTATTAAATGGAGGTAAAATTTAATGGAATATAAGACAACCTTAAAGAAAATTAATACTTCACAACATACTAAGAAAATGAAAATCCAAGAAGAACATGGTAACATTAAAACTATGAGAAAACTCACAAGAAAGAACACAAAAAGCATGAACTCAGCATGGGAAGACAAGTAGAATAAAGAAAGCAGCAGCACCACAAAAAAAACAAACATAATGGTAGTAATTAATCAATACCTATTGATAATTACACTGAATGTAAATGGATTAAATGCACCAGTTAGGAGACGGAAGGTGGCAGAATGGATAAGGAAACAAGATCCTTCAATATGATTTGTTCAAGAGACTTATCTCACACACAGAGACAAAAACAGATTAAAAGTCAAAGGATGCAAAAAATATACCAAACTAATTGCAATAAAAAACGAACAGGAGTGGCAATACTAATCTCTGATAAAATAAACTTTAAGGCAAAAACAAGCATAATAGATAAAGATGGACATTATCTCATGATTAAAGGGACAATTGAACAAGATGGCATAACCATGATAAATATCTATGCTCCCAATGAAAGAGCTCCAAAATATATAAAGCACACTCTAACAGATTTAAAGAAAGAAATAGATGAATTTATGATAATAGTGGGCGATTTTAAGACACCGGTTTCAAAAATGGATAGAACAACCAGAAAGAAACTTGACAAAGACACAGAGGAACTAAATAACACAATCGGCAACCTGGACGTCATGGATATGTACACAGCATTCAACCCAACAACAGCAAAATACACATTCTTTTCCAGTGCACATGGAACTTTCTCCAGAATAGACCATGTTAGGCCACAAAACAAATCTCCATAAACTTACAAATATCAAAATACTACAAAGCATCTTCTCAGACCACAATGCCATCAAATTAAAAACCAACCATAGGAAAACCAAGAAAATAAAGCCAATACATGGAAACTGAATAACACCTTGCTGAAAAGCGACTTGGTAGTAGAAGAAATATAACGTAAATTCAAAAAGTTCCTAGAAACAAACGAGAATGAAAACACAACATACCAAAATATTTGGGACACGGTGAAAGCAGTGCTGTGAGGAGAATTTATTGCAATAAATGCACACATCCAAAAATGACAATGAACCAAAATTAACACATTAACACAGCATCTACAACAATTAGAAACAGACCAATGAGGAAACCCAACAGTCACCAAAAGAAAAGAAATAATAAAGATTAGAGCAGAAATGAATGAGATAGAAAACAGAAAAACTATAGAAACAATCAACAGGACAAGAAGCTAAATTTTTTAAAGGATTAACAAAATTGGCAAACCTAACAAAAGAAAACAGGTAGAAGACACAATAACACTCATTAGAAACCACATAGGTGATGTCATAATGGAACCAAAGGAAATCAAAAGGATAATAACAGAATACTAAGAAAACTTGTACTCCAACAAATTTGAAAACTCAGAAAAGATGGATACATTTTTAGAAAAACATGACCTACCTACAATTACACAGAGTGAAGTAGTAAAGCTGAACAGACCCATAACAAAAGAAGGAATTGATCATGTCATCAAAAAACTCCCAACCAAAAGAAGTCCAGGCCCAGATGGCTTCACTGGTGAGTGCTACCAAACATTCAGGGAAGAGCTGTCACCAATTCTACTCAAATTATTCCAGAAGACAGAAGAGGATGGAAAGCTTCCTAATACATTTTATGAAGCAAGCATAACCCTCATACCAAAAACAGGAAAGGACATCAATAAGAAAGAAAATTGTAGACCAATATCCCTCATGAATATAGATGAAAAAATTTGCAACAAAATCCTAGCCAATAGAATCTAGACACATATCAAAAAGATATAACATAATGATCAAATGGGATTCATATCAGAGATGCAAGGATGGTTCAACATTAGAAAAACAATCAATGTAATCGATTATACAAGACAAATGAAAAGAACCACATGATCATATTGATTGATGCAAAAAAGTCATTTGACAAAATCCAACATCTATTCCTGAAAAAAAACACTCAACAAAGTAGGAATTGAAGGGAAATTCCTCAACATAATTAAGAGCATATATACAAAATCAACAGCCTATATTATTCTCAATGGAGAGAAACTGAAAGCCTTCCCTCTGCAAACCGGAACCAGACAAGATGCCCTTTGTCACCACTCCTACTCAATATTGTACTGGAAGCCTTAGCAAGAGCTAAACAGCAAGACAGGGAAATTAAAGGCATCCAAATTGGCAAAGAGGAAGTAAAATTCTCTATATTTGCAGATGCTATGATCCTATACATAGAAAACCCAAAAGACTCAATAAAAAAAGCTTCAAGACCTCATTGGAAGTTTCAGCAAAGTGGCAGGGTATAAAATCAATGTACAAAATCAGTTGGATTCCTCTATACCAATAATGACAGTGCTGAAAAGGACATTAGGAAAGCAATACCATTTAAAATAGCTGCCCAAAGGATGAAATATCTAGGAATAAATGTAACCAGAGAAACAAAGGGCCTATACAAAGAAAACTACGAAACACTACTACAAGAAACCAAAAGAGACCTGCAAAAAAGGAATAATGTACCATGCTCCTGGATAAGTAGACTTAACATTGTGAAAACGTCAATAATGCCCAAAGCAATTTGCACATATAATGCAATCCCAATCCAGATTCCAACGACATTCTTCAAGATGGAAAAGACAATTACAAACTTGATATGGAAAGGAAAGAGACCCAGGATAAGCCAAGCACTGCTTAAGAAGAAGAATGAGGTTGGAAACCTCTCACTCCCTGATTTCAAATTTTACTGCACGGCTACAGTGGTCAGAACAGCCTGGTACTGATATAATGAAACATACATTGATCAAAGGAACAGAATCGAGAATCCAGAAATTAACCCATTCACATACAGCCAAATGATTTTTGACAAATTGTCTAAATATATCACATGGAGAGGTGATAGTCTCTTCAAAAGATGGTGTTGGCAGAACTGGAAAGCAATATGCAAAAGACTGAAACAAGACCTTTACTTCACACTCTAACAGATTTAAAGAAAGAAATAGATGAATTTATGATAATAGTGGGCGATTTTAATACAAAAACCAACTCAACACTGATTAAAGACCTAAATGTGAATCCCTGAATTATGAAGGCCATTAATGAAAAAAACAGGGATAAATGTGAGGGCTCTAATTCAGGGCATACACAGATTACCAAACACTTTGAAAACTACACAAACAAAAGTAGACAAAATAGATGATTGGGACATACTGAAAATTAAAAATTTATGTGCATCAAAAGACTTCACCAAGAGTAAAAAGGGAACCCACAGTCTGGGAAAAATATTTTACAATGACACACAGATAAGGGACTCATTTCTAAAATATATAGGAAACTACAACACCTCTACAAGAAAAAGACAAATAACCCAATTAAAAAATGAGCACAGGACAAGAACAGACACTTCACCAAGGAGATCTAGGCAACCAAC